CTCCTGCGAGTACCCAAGAGCAACAATGCGTGCCCGATAGCGTTCTATAGTACCGTCAGGATGTACCTTGATAGTATAGACCCATCGGCTGCCAACAGTAGGAGTGTCTGGTGAAGGACGGTCAACCACGGTCCATGTATTATTTGCGTGCATGGCATCAGTCTCACAATCCATGGCAGCTTCCCACAATGGGTTCCCTTGTGCTTTCTTGTAAGAATTGGGAATGTGTACTGCATCAATGGCATGAGCTACGTAATCCTGGTACTTGGGAGGAGGAATACCTTGTGTAATTCGCATGGAACGGCGTAGCAAGGGCTGTGGTGTCTCAAGTTGGTGCGGCGTGTGAGATGATGACGTAGCTGTATTTGATGGCGAGGAAGAGTGGGAAGAAGTCCCTGGACTGGCTGCAATAGGAGGCGTGGGAGGTGGAGAAGCCACATCATCAGGAGAGAGCAATATATGGTCATCAGCCGATTCATCATCAAAGTGAAATGAAGGAGGAGATTTAAACCCAGGGAAAACATACTCTATATTGGCTGGACAATAAAAAAAAGGTAAATTTTCAAAGAACACAACGGTGGCAGCAATCCTAATACGCTGAGTAGTGGGATCAAAGCACATATAACCTTTATGAACATCACTATACCCTAAGAAAGCACAACGAGCTGTTTTTTAGGTCAGTTTAGTTCGTTCTCGCTTAGGAGAAGAACGAAACACGTACAGCCAAAGACACGAAGACGAGAATAATCAGGATGACATGAGTAGAGAGCAAAGTACGGACTAATGTTACCCAAAACCGTCGTAATCTGATAATTGATCAATTTTACTGCCGTTGCCACTGCTTCTGGCCAGAAACGACCAGGAACAGATGACGTGATCAGTAATGCTCTGGTAAGATCCAAAACATGACGGTTTTTACGTTCCACTAGTCCATTTTGCTGAGACACACCAGGACACGATTTTTGACACAAGATACCACGATCCCGATACTCATCACGCAAAGGAAAGGAACTAAATTCTCCTCCAGGATCAGAACGTATTATTTTGACTGTACGACCAAACTGGGTCTGAATCATATTTAGAAACTCAATAGCAACAGCACGAAGTTCGAATTTGAGCCGGAGAAAATATATCCAGGTAAAACGAGTAGCATGGTCTATGAATAATGCAAAATACCGAAAACCATGTCTACTGAGGGTAGGAGAGGGACCCCAGAGATCAGTATGGACAAGATGAAATGGGTCTTTTATAACAGTGATGCTAGAAGGAAAAGAAACACTGACAGTCTTTGCTTCTACACAGCTTTTACAAGAATGAGAACCTGTAATCCCAACATTGTTTTTGCCAAGAAGTGACTTTTGAAACATGAGAGACAGCCGACTTGTATGAGGATGCCCTAGCCGATAATGCCAAAGATCCCATACATTATTCGAAATACTTGAAAACACGGAAAACGGACTACTGACAGACCTATGATCATGACTACTGACATTTGACGAAACGGATTGCCCATTCAATTCCTCTAAATGAAATAACCGGCCTCGCTTACTCCCCCTTCCGATTGGCCTCCCCGTCTTCGAATCCTGTACAATACACCCAGACGGAGCAAATACCACAGAATAACCCTGCTCAGTAAGTTGTCCAACTGAAACTAGATTGGGAACAAGTTGAGGAACATGCAATGTATTGTTTAAAGAAATGGAATTAGTCATAACATTGCCTACTCCATGTACGGCTAATTTTTCACCATTAGCTACTGTCAATTCCATTTCTTTAACCGGTTCCATATTCTTTAAAACTTCTGATTTTCGCGTCATATGGTTAAAACAAGCACTATCCAGGAGCCATGGTGTCGAATTACCTGATCCTTGTAGAGTTGCAAAAGCTGCACTAATGGCGGTTGGAAGCGAACGTTGCAAAGCTGCATTTACCATCTGCTCCACCGCGTCGGCTGACATCCCTGTGTTGTTCCCAGCTTCAACACGTGGGTTTCCATTTTCAGGAAATTGTGACCTATTATATGGACGCCCATTTAAAGCCCAATTGGCATGATTGTTGGGCATAAAAGTTCCATAGGCAGATTGATCTCCATACCCAGGACGTGCACCAGGAGTTCCTTGGCGGTCGTTGTGCCGTCCACCTCGAGAACCTCCAGCCACTTGAGGAGCAGCCCAGCGCGCTTCATTTCTTTCCCGTGACCTGCACTCCAGAACAATGTGCCCCATCCGCTTACAATATACACAGAAGTTCCGACGTTTGCAATGCTTTTGCAAGTGACATTTCTCCCGGCAATGATGACATTCTAATTCATTCGCGGGCAGGCGCCTTTGGAATTGTGGTCGCTCGACAGCATAGGCAAACGAGCTTGATCCAGAGATTCTAGGTACAACAGTAGCCGCTACAAGTGTTTCACCCTCTCCTGGTCGTTGATCAATCAACGCCTGAGTTCTCATCCTGGTCTACTCTCGAACAAGAGTGGCCAGCACTCCATCAAAGTTCAGAACCTCCTTATTGAGCAATGCCGAGCGAACTCCCTCAAATTCTGGCCTCAACCGCCTCAAAAACTTCAAGATCCGGGTACGCTGCCTTTCTTCAATAGCATCATCGGAAATCACAGCTTGTGGCCGAAGGGCTGCTTGAATTAGATCTTGTTCAGTCCACAATTCTTGGGCTTGGTTAAAGTATTTAGTCACTGATTTATCCCCTTGCTCCAGACGAGCAATGGACATCTGTATCTCAAACTGACGGGCTGGATTGACCGTCGAATACAGAGCCGTCAAGTGTCTCCACATCCTGTTGGCAGTCGGAAATAGTCTCAAGCTCAGACAGGTCGAAGCATCAACGCTGTCCAGTAGCCAAGAACGCACCCGCGCGTCATTCTGGTTCCACAGGGCGCGATCTTGTGCAGTTACCGTGCCGGCAGCCGGCTGCTGCTGTGTTCCGTCCAGTATTCCCAGCAAACCTCTTCCTTCCACGAACACTCGGAATTGAAATTCCCACAGTGCAAAATTCGTTGACGTGAGACGCACCGAAGGTCTCGCATAATCGACTTGTGATGGCTCTGATACCATGTTGATAATTTAGACAGTAACGGAAATGACAAACACGATTTACGTGGTATCCCTGGATGATCCAGGACTAATCCACGGAGGAGTATGAAGCTCCTCAGCTACTGATGTATTGGTTATGTTCGTCGAACAGATTCATCAGCTTACAATGACGGCTGAACAAGCTTTTATATCACAAGCTTAGCCGAACCCTAGAACCATTAGGTTACTACGTTAACCTTCCTAATGATCATGGGCTGCATGGGCTTTAATGATCTATTGGGCTATCACGAGGACACTACCTACAGCTACATTACATAACACAAGACTACAATATAATCAACACATGCCTCATTTGAACGTGAAATAAATTTCTCGAATTAAGTTTCAATCCTCGATGAATTAAAGTTGGCGAATTGATGACAAACCTTTGATCAAAATCGGTGACAAAAGTATTAGTAAAATTTTGTTTTGGTGATTGCAGTATTTGAATTCAAGACTGCTAGTCAATTTTTAGTGAATTTCTTTTAATATTAAATACGGTCGATAAATTTTCCGAGTCTGTCATCAGTCTTAGTCCGATCACGATGACATGTGCCTGAAAATGAAAACGATTACTCAAAATTGATCTCATAGTGAATCTAATCGATTTATATCAAAACCAAAACCAAAACCAATTGCTCTCCGAGCAAGATTGTGAGCTCCCCTTGAAAGCAAAGATTTGGCAATCATGCACTTTCTAAGACAACCGACAGTTTCTATGCAAGTGGTTCTACGGACAGCATGTGTTTATTTTTCTAAACTAACACATAATTTAGCGAGCTTTGATGGTAATGGCCGCAAACTAACAAACACACCCGACTGAATTTTCTTTTCTTCATCGCTGGGTCCAAAATGTTATTTATTTATTTATATGTGAATTTGTACGTACGCGGCTGATCTTTTATAGTATTACTCATTTGATCATCTAATGATTTAATTAGTTTTGACAGCCGAATCAGCGCCCTACACCGATGGTCGACAGCTTGCACAGAACACGTTATCAGTTACCTATCCTAATCAAACTGAGATCACAGCACAAACGAAATCGAATAGGAAATCATCATGGAATTCTCAATGACAACATTAATTAATGACCGTTGGAAAATGGTTTAATTTAAATAACTAAATTATCTATATATGTAGCTTAACCATGAAAAAGGGGGGGAAAGGTATTCACTTGTGTACATGGAGGAGTATGTTAGAAGGTGCATGGAACCCTTAAGTAATTAGGATAATGCTTAGTTGCTGGCCTGGTTTCATCATTAAGCCACTGCGTGGGAAAAAGGGGGACAACGGATAAGAATAATTAACTCATTAAGTACCCTCAAATCCTCTTAATGCATGTCTTATGAGGAGGTTGACTTTTTTCTGGGCAACAATTCATATTGAACACATAGTCAAATTTTGCTATCAATGCCCGTGTATTCAAATCTCAGAATACGGTGAAATTTCTGTAGTTACATGGGGTTAACAAATGATTCATTTTTTTCATCAATTTGTATCAGTGATAATCGAACTGGATAAACACTAACAATTTGAGATTCAATTTTAAAATTATGAAAAATTCTGGAAATAGGGGTTTTCGAAGTGGTTGGCGCGGCGGCGGCAAGTCTTAATGAGGGGTTGGAGGATCCGTTCCTTGTTGAATTGCTGTCGCTTAGGGATGCTATCCGGTGGTGCGCCTAGCTTCTGGAGTCCAAGAAGTCGTTTTTGCAGGTGATGCGCAGGTTGTGTTCGAGAAGGCAACAACTGATGAAGTGCAGGATGTGCGTGGTGGTACTTAGGGGTGGCATTTCGGTTATTTCGGATTCAACCGATAACCGATCGAAATAGGTTTCGGTTTTTCGGTTATCTCGGTTATTGGTTGACCGACCCAATTTTAAGACCAAAAATATTTCGTATAGCCTCCGACAACCGACCAAAGTTCGGTTACTTCGGTTACCGGTTAGTGGATAACCGGCCGGTTATCGGTTTATCCGGCTGGTTAACCGATAACCGAACTGCCACCCCTAGTTGTGCTATTTTGTAGGAGATCCAAATCCTTCGTCGGTGTTTCCTGTCTTGTGATTTTCAATTTGTTAGGCGTGACTCGTGAGTGCAACATGGCAACTAATATGGTGGCAAGAAAGACCCTTTCATTTTTTTTTCTTAAATGGAGGCCGAAGGCCAAGAAAAAGAAGTTACAGGCCGATTAAGTGAGGGAAGGAGAATGAGAAACAATACGACGTTCAAAGCTAACACCCATCATATCATCTCTAATAATCGAAGCTAGCCCGGATGGTGGGTGTGCAAGCTCATACATACCATAGGGATAGACGAGACTGTGCTTCGAGAGCCAGTCCGCGGCTTTATTCCCTTCCCGGTATGTATGAGTGATGCTAACCAACCAGTCTTGACTAAGCTTCCTGCGAATCGCCGCCAGAATCGTGGAGTGAGGGTGAAGTGGATCATGCCTATTCTTGAGTAATTGAATAGCTATCTCCGAATCAGACTGAACCAGAATGACGCGATGCCCACTAGGGGTGGCTATACGGTCCGGTCCGGTTAAATTGGCCCAAATTGATCCGGTCCAGTCCGGTCTTTTTGAAAATATAAGGACCGAAGATTGGATTGGATACAGTCCGGTCTTGATCCGGTCCGGTTTTGATCCGGTCCGGTCCCAATTTGGTCTTGATTTTACATTGAGATTGTGGGATTTGAGTGGCCTAAGGCCTTAAAGGGTGAGGAGTTGGTTAAGTTTTGTACTAATTGCAAAGGTTTGTGACCGTTTATGCAAATTACCCTTAAGTTTTGGGTGTTGAGCTCTCTTATCCGGTCTTTATCCGGTTTTTTTACCTCAAATCTAAGCCCAAAGATTGGATTGGATTGTTTACTATCCGGTCCCGGTCCGGTCTCGGTCCGGGTTATACGGTCCGGTTTCCGGTTTTTAATCCGGTCCGGGTCCAAATAGCCACCCCTAATGCCCACTCCTCCAAGCTATGTCCAGTCCATGAAAGAATACCCTAGTTTAACAGGGTTTGATTTTTGTGCTTGGCTCCGTGTAACCATGTGACTCTAGTGTAACTCCTTTTCTCGATAATAAGAGGTATCTTTGGTATAAAAGAAAAAGTGGTTTGATTTGGTAGTCTTGGGTTAATCTTTGGTTCGTCGTCCGTTTTTGGGGTTCTGATGGAGGAATGAATCTTCTTCTTCTTCTTTTACTCCGAGGAGTCGTCCGTTGACTCGCTATCCACTTTCCCCGGCCGACCTGCCGTCCTCCTCGTCGCCGTTCCAGACTTTAATTTCTCCTCTTATCATAATTAATTTCCTTCCTTTCTCTCTTCAAAAACAAAATTGAAAGCAACCCCCTCTCCACCAATAAAATAAAATAAAAACGCCACGTGGACAGATCCTACTGGTCGCCTCCCACACCTTTCTCGTAGTATATCCATTTTCCCATCCACCCTTTCTCTATATAAACCTGACCTAAACTCCATTTCCCCATTCACTCTCTTCTCTCTCCCTCTCCTATTTTTTTCATTCCTCACTGATAAACAAGCCACCTCAAATTCATATCCGAGACGACACGCCGATCTCAGCCATGGCGGGCGGTGGATTCGCATCCGCCGGAGGAACGGAGTTCGAGGCCAAGATCACTCCCATCGTCATCCTCTCTTGCATCATGGCCGCCACCGGCGGCCTCATGTTCGGATACGACGTCGGTGTCTCAGGTAATAACGTAACCTTAATTTCCCCAACCTACCAACACAATTTAATTGTTTTTGCCTTAAAACGCGGAAGGGAAATTTCGGAAATTCATTTCGTTAAGTCTCCGCCGGTCAAAATCAATTTTGTGTGTGTGTGTGTGTTTTTTTTTCTCTCCCACCCCGCGCCCGGCGCCCGTGCCATTTATGACGTAATTAATTAGTGATGATGAGCGTGTTGAATTAGGTGGAGTGACGTCGATGCCGGCGTTTCTGGAGAAGTTTTTCCCGGTGGTGGCGAGGAAGACGCAGGACAAGACGCTGGACAACAGCAACTACTGCAAGTACGACAACCAAGGGCTGCAGCTGTTCACGTCGTCGTTGTACCTGGCCGGGCTGACGGCGACTTTCTTTGCTTCCTATACTACTAGGACGCTGGGGAGGCGGCCGACGATGCTGATCGCGGGTTTGTTCTTCATCGCCGGGGTGATTCTCAACGCCGCCGCGCAGGATCTGGCCATGCTCATCGTCGGGAGGATCCTGCTGGGTTGTGGGGTCGGGTTTGCTAATCAGGTAATTTAATCAAGGCTTTCCATTTTGATTTAATGATTTTTCATTTTGTGATGTGTTATTTAATTGAAGATTTAGATTAAAACGGATATGATACGTCATTTTATCTATCAAACATAATAAATTATTACCGCGTACTTTTTTTTAATGCTGTAAAGGTAATTTATCTCTCGTGACTTATCCGTAATGCTTTGAATTTTGATCACTTGGACTTGGGAATCATGATGGACACGTAGACAGTCGATAAGTTAAGGAACAAAATCAGTGGGAGAAATAAATGTGGGTCGTTTAGTCCTACTTATGATAATATGAATGCAAGATATTATCACACTTAAACAAAAAAATATAAGTCAACAGTCAGATTTCCAACATTGATTGATTGGGAAACAATAATTCTGTGTTTCTTGTCTAATGAACCAACTTTGAAAATTATAGTGGTATATGTCACATTGAATTGTTAACTTTAAGGTGCATGATAAGTTAGACTACTGTAAAATGCTCTTTAATTTTCATTCTTTTTGGTGTAAAAAGTCAATATTTGCAAATGAAATTTTCAGATTTTGAACAATGGGGGAGCTATAATGTAAAGAATGTCCCATTTTTTTTTAAAAAAGACCTATGTAAAACTTGTAATAAATTACAAAAGTTGAATAAATGGGAAGACAAATCCACTAACTACTTGATTACTAGGTTTCAAATCTCTTCGTATTTATTTTCTTAAAACAATTCTTACTCACGTTTCTGCGCCACTTATTTTGAATCTCTCTTTAATATGCAATCATGAAACACCGTGGAAAAAAAAAATTGAGGGTCTCTTCATGTGATTTGGGGTTTAATGATCAACCTCTAATCAGCTTCTTGATATATAGTCGAGCTCAAGCGGGGTTCTATCATTTTCAATTCAAATTAACTAATCAAAAATTAAAACCCTAACAGTTTGTCTTCTAGGATTAAGATTTCCCGCCCCTGTGAAAATGACAGCCACATCACATGTTAATTATCTTCTCAATCACTGCTCTTAATAATTATAATAATTTACATCCCCTTTCCCTTCCCTGTTTTCTCACGGCTTCACATGTGTTACCATCTTTATGGTTGCTTTAAGATTAAAAAGCTCTCCTGGCCATTTGAAAAAGTCATCCATCAACTTTGCATATTTCTTTTTCTTCTTCTTCCTTCAGCGTGATGCAGACTTTAAGACTTTTCAGTTTTCATCACTCACAGGATCATCACTTCTAGCTTTGAATTTTTTTCCCCCACCTCGTTCTTATTTAATCATTTTTTACATAACGATATCTTTTTAAAATCACTGAATTTGGACCCAATACTGGCCAAATCATGATGCTGCTGATGTAAAGATCACTTGCCAAGATTTTTCTTTCTTTCCTCAAGAGATATAAGTAATGAAGTAAAGTCGGGCTGGGCTGGTTGTTATAGATTTCTCCAAGTGCCTTCATTCCCATGTGTCACATATTTGAATATTACACACAAACAGCAGAAAATTTTGGACCCTAATGTACCATACCCTACCCTACACATGGACAAAGAGTCCATAGTAATCAAAACTACCTCCACAATCTAGTTGATTATGACCTCCAACTGAAGGGCAGGAAAAGACACGCCCAATATAGGTCACATTAACGGAGTCACAAAACGCGTTATAGTCCACTCAACTTTCAAATATAGACACAATATATAATATGAAAAGTTCGTGACAGTTCTTCTATCACAAGAGGCGCTATAACCCACTCAAGCCTTAGTCATAGTTCAAATCAAATCTCGACTACTCTTCATTCAAATTTCTGATTTCGATACTAATAATAATATATGTTACGGTTTGTCTATTAATTGATATCATATCATCATAATATCTTCCTTGTACAATTTTACAGGCGGTGCCACTGTTTCTATCGGAGATCGCCCCAACGAGAATCCGTGGAGCCCTAAACATACTGTTCCAGCTCAACGTCACAATCGGCATCCTCTTCGCCAACTTGATCAACTACGGCACCGCCAAGTAAATAAACCCTTCCTCCTAATCACAATTTACCCAACCCAAACTCCTAATCACCATAATTAATCAACTTTGACTTTTTTTCACTCTAACAGGATCAAAGGCGGATGGGGCTGGAGACTCTCCCTGGGCCTCGCCGGCGTACCGGCCGTCCTCCTCACCCTCGGCGCCCTCCTCGTCTCCGAAACCCCCAACAGCCTCATCGAACGCGGCCGTTTCGACGAGGGGAAAGCCGTCCTCCGCAAAATCAGGGGAACCGACAAGATCGAGCCGGAGTTCCTCGAGCTCGTCGAGGCCAGCCGCATCGCCAAGGAAGTCAAGCACCCGTTTCGAAACCTCCTCAAGCGCAAGAACCGCCCGCCGCTCGTCATCTCCATCGCCTTACAAATCTTCCAGCAGTGCACGGGGATCAACGCCATCATGTTCTACGCTCCCGTACTCTTCAACACCGTCGGCTTCGGCAGCGACGCCTCCCTCTACTCCGCCGTCATCACGGGGGCCGTCAACGTCCTCTCCACCGTCGTCTCCATCTACTCCGTCGACAAGCTCGGCCGCCGCTTGCTCCTCCTCGAGGCCGGCGTCCAGATGTTCCTATCCCAGGTAATCTCGAGAAATCGAATTTTTCCCCCGAATTCGGAGATAATTCACATAGATATAGTAAGTCTCGCTTGGACTGCTTTAATGCTCCTCCTCGAAGGTGGCGTCTAGATTCTCCCGTCGCAAGTAATTTTTGAAAAATGAAAAAAATTCAAATTCATAAAGGGATAGGAGGACAAAATCTAAAAAAAACAAAAAAACAAAAAATAGGGGGCATAATTCACATTGGATATAATAAATCTCGTTTGGGCTACTTAAAGGTAATCTTTACATTATTTCGTATTCACTCTCTCTCTTCGTGTGTGGGAGAGGGTAAGTGGACTTTGCCAGTACGAGTTAAGTTGAGAAGTGAAATTGTATCAACTTTTTTGTTCTTTCCAGGTGGTGATCGCGGTGGTGCTGGGGATCAAGGTGACGGACCACTCGGACAACCTCGGGAAGGGGTTCGCGATCCTGGTTGTGATCATGGTGTGCACGTTCGTGTCGGCGTTCGCGTGGTCGTGGGGGCCGTTGGGGTGGCTGATTCCGAGCGAGACTTTCCCGATGGAGACGAGGTCGGCGGGGCAGAGCGTGACGGTGTGTGTGAATCTGTTGTTTACGTTCGTGATCGCCCAGGCGTTTCTGTCGATGTTGTGCCATTTCAAGTTCGGGATCTTCCTGTTTTTCTCCGGGTGGGTGGCGGTGATGTCGGTGTTCGTGTTGTTTCTGGTGCCGGAGACGAAGAACGTGCCGATTGAGGAGATGACGGAGAAGGTTTGGGCGCAGCATTGGCTGTGGAAGAGGTTTGTGGAGGGGGAGGAGGGTGACGTGGAGATGAAGGGGGTCAACGGGAAGGGTCGTGGTAATGGGGTTGACTCTTCTTCTTAGTTTGCGTCGTTTAGAGAGACTGTGTGAAAGAGAGAGAGAGAGAATAACTACAGATTGGAGGGAATATGTTTAATTATGGAGATGGTATTATTGGTAATATATAAATATATATAAAGGCTCTTCAATTACCGTCGAGTGGCTTGATGATCATCATGTGTAATCTATTTGACCCAAGTGAAAAACCAAGCAAGTAAAGTAATACAATATGTGGGGCTTAATTGCAAGTTTGGTCACTCGAATTGCTATAAAATTTCACGTTTGTCACTCAAATTAATTTATTCCATTTGTAGTCACTCTAATTAGTTGAACAGTTCAAGTTCGGTCACTCTCCGTTAACCTCCGTTAACTTTGACTGACGTGACGGTCAACTCTGACCGTTGGCCGTTAAATGTGTGACGTGGCAAATAAAAAATAAATAAACCTCAAATTTCGAGAACCACCCCTTTCACGTTTGAGATTATGCAGGCAAGTTGTTCTCTTATAATCCTACAGGCAAGTTTCAAGAACCACCCCTTTCACTCTCTATCTCTCCTTAAGTTGGGATGGAATGGATTTTAAGATAGTCGATCAATCCAATTGTTGAGATAAGCCGCGGCGGCAGCCAATCCGAAAACCACGGCGACATCCCTAGCTACGTAACTCATCGACTTCCACGGATCCTTAACCCAGCAATGCTTGGGTATGGCGGCTCGAATATCGGCCAAATTGAAGGGCGGCGGAGCTCCTGGGTCGAAACCTGCCGGCGGCTCTGCTTCTCCAATCGCATCGTTGAAATTGAGTTCTTCTTCTTCTTCCACTGAAGCAACTTGAAAGGGCACACTCGCTCTCTTCCTCGAAGAAGAAAGTGACGGAACAACCGTTCCGTTTACTGTTCCTACGGAACAACCGTTCCGCTCACTGTCGAAACCCCCTATCGAGATTTGCGACAAGACCTCGGCATTAGTCTTCCCGATCGTAATCGCGACCAGGGCGGATTCCGGCGGCGGGAGCTACCCTCAGTGGAACGAGAAGGTTGTCGTCGAGATGCCAATGCCGCCGGCCAATTCTGTGACGTTGGAAGTCCGATCTGGAAACAGAGTGGTCGGAGCGGCGGTTCAAGTTTTTGTGATAATTTCTTTTTTTCATTTTTTATAATGATGTGTAATTTCTAAAAATTTATTTTTTATTTTTTAATTATTTTTTATTTGCCACGTCACACATTTAACGGTTAATGGTCAGAGTTGACTGCCACGTCAGTCAAAATTAACGGAGGTTAACAGAGAGTGACCGAACTTGAACTGTTCAACTAATTAGAGTGAATAAATTAATTTGAGTGGCAAACGTGAAATTTTATAGCAATTCGTGTGACCAAACTTGCAATTAAGCCCAATACGTGGAATGGAAGAAAATTGTATGCAATTGGGCCGAAGCTTGATAGTTACACGTTGCTTTTATGTGAGTTGAGTGGGCTATATGTAATTGGGCCGAAGCTTGACCTTTCAGATTTCACATCTTCTAACTGGAAAAAAATGATAGGAATGAAAAACGTGGTCGGCAGGATTCGAACCTGCGCGGGCAAAGCCCACATGATTTCTAGTCATGCCCGATAACCACTCCGGCACGACCACTTGTTGTTAAATATTTTATATTTTTTTATATAAACTATTTAATATCCTTGCCTTCGACAACTTATTTATTTTCTGCTGCTGAGTGCTGATGGGCTGGATGCTTGAAGCCCATAAGCGAAACTCAACATTCAAGCTGCATCCCAGCGCTTCACTTCATTTCTCCCGTTCTCCACCTTGTTTAATTGCGACGGATTGTACTGAATTAGTCAGCAAAACTATTCTTACCAAAAAAAAAAAAAAAAGAAAAAAAACTCCAGCAAAACTGAATACTGACTAAACCGGTACATTACGGTTACGGGTAGGCAATTTGCGTTAAATTGGTCGGTACAGAGTTCTCATGCCAAGTTCATTGCTAGTCTTCAAATTTGGTGATCTTCGGATCATCCCCATTTTCTTCTCTTTTCTTCCAATGTTACATTTTCCAAATTTGGATACCTTTATTTTTAGTTAATTTTTCTTTACTTAATAACGTACTTATGATCATCTTAATACAATTTGTTCATGTTAATTTTTGTATAGTTCGTCATCATTTTTAAATACAAATTTTCCGGTAGAATTTTTTTTAAATCTTGAGAGCAAATGCTTTTCACAAAAAATGATTAATCTAATTTGGGTTTACACACAACACTTAAAAATTATTGATTTAATTAAATCCCTAACTAATCTCCTAATTAAACCCTATATTTGGAGAACCCCATTTCCACCCCAAATTTTGAAATACTTTTGCAGATCTCACTCAAATATAGAAACTCCATTGAAATTAGCATCATACATACGTATGTGCCATACTAATTTTACTGACCATAGAAAACTTTTGTTATATAGACCATAGGTACAATACGGTACCATAACCAGGGCAAAGCTAGCTCACAACCGGCCGCCTCATGGCCCTGGAGAATTCTAGAATTCCAATTTATAAAAAACTATGATAATTTCTTCTAGTATTGAAATTATTTGAGGTTTTTTTTATGAATCGATTTACTTTCATTCCATCAAAAAGTAGTGCTGGCAACACCCTTGCCAGCTAGGGAAAAATGAGAGCAGAAGAAGAGGTAAAACACGACATTTCACCTATAGATCTATCAACCAATTAAAACCAAACCAATCTACTACTACCTATGCAAGCACTTTACTCGGGGGAAAATGGGAACAGAAGAAGAGGTAAGAGACCTGAAGAACTAGGTAGCAGAAGCCCAGAAACTCCCCAACTCTGTAGGATCCTTCACCAACACATAAACTTCACTTTTAATCAGCTGAACCAAAGCCTCAGGAGACCTCTTCTGATCACCAAAAGCCCTCCTGCATCGCTCTCTCCACACATGGCTCACCATATACTGCCAAATCAGCCTCCCATGCATTGCAACCACTGTTTTTGCACCAAGCTTTTGTGCAGCCCAGCTTAAATTCTCCTCCCAGCTCTGACGGCGGAAGGCACAAAATCTCCCCAGCAACTGTTGATGAACATCAGAGTAGTAGGGACAGACAGAGAACAGATGGTCCCTTGTCTCTCCTGCCTGGTCACAGAGGATGCAGTGATCAGAACCTACAAATCCCCATTTCTTCATCTTGTCTTTAGTTTGGATTTTGTTAAGTATAATAAGCCACGTTAGGAATCTATTTCTAGGGATAGAGGGTCCCTTCCAAAGAAGCTTATACCAGCTTACTCTACTGTGTTTTGTTCTAACAGAATCCCATATAATATTAATTGAGTACTTCTTCATTGGTTTGTCATCCTAGTTCATCACTCCTTCTTTCCAGCTAAATAGGTTGGGGATCTTGTTTCTAATTCTCAACAGCCTCCCCAAGTTCCATGATCCACTAATATTGACATTACAGAAGTCCCTGCCTTTCAGCTTGTAGGTTTTGACCCAAGCAACCCACAATGATCCTTGTTGCATCATAACCGACCAAATCTGCCTATAAACACAGGCATAATTCCAGGAGACCAGATCCCTCAGACCCTGACCTCCTTCTTTTTTTGGGATTGCCAAGTATTTCCATGCCATCTTAGCTCTAAGTCTGAGACCAGGACCAACTTACCAGAGGAAATTGCTACAAATTTTCTAAACCTCCTGGATAACCACCTTGGGAAGCATAAAAACACTCATCCAGTATTGTGACATGCTGTAAAGTACTGACTCAACCAGTTCTACTATACCTGCATAGCTCAGGGACTTTGCCTTCCAACCCTGCACCCTTTTTGTGATTTTATCAATTAAAGGTTTGCAGACATTTACTGTCAATTTGCCAGCCACAAGAGGAACCCCAAGATATCGAACTGGAAACCCCCCAAGCTGATACCCATATCTATTAGCTCTCACTATCATCTCCCCCTTTTCCAAACCTCCAAAAAATATCTCACACTTGCTTGAATTGGATTGAAGCCCTGATAACTTGTGGAACTCACTCAAGACCCTTTGAACACTCTGGATTCCATAGTTGGACCCATCAGAGAAGACCGGCAAATCGTCAGCAAAGCATAAATGAGTCAGGCCTATTCTCTTACACATAGGATGGTAGGGGAACCTGCCCTTTTCAGCTTCCAAGTCTAAGAGGCACAAAAAAACCTCCATTGCTACAACAAATAGGTATGGGGAAAGGGGATCTCCCTGCCTCAGACCTTTCTTGGCAGGAAAGTATCCCACCAGACCCCCATTAAAAGCAATACTGAGCATTGGACTAGAGACACACATTCTGATCCAACTAATGAACTGTAAAGGCACACCCATAGCTTCCAACACCACATAAAGAAACTGCCAACTAACTAAATCGAATGCTTTCATGATGTCAATTTTAAGAGCAGATCTAGTAGAAATATTCTTCCTAGAGTACTTATGCGCTAACTCATGAGCTAAGAGGATATTTTCACCAATGACCCTTCCTTTCACAAAAGCTGTCTGATTCTTACTGATAACAAAAGGGAGAAGAGGGCTAAACCTATTTGCCACAATCTTAGAGATGCATTTATAAACTATACTGCAACAAGAAATGGGCCTGAAAAATTTCATCTCATCCAGAGTTTGAATTTTAGGAATCAGAGATAGGATTGTAGCATTTACCTCTCTTGGAAGATCCCCTGTCACAAAACAGTTCTGAATAGCCTTTGTGATTTCTGCTCCAACAACATCCCAAGTAGCTTGAAAGAATCTGGCATTAAATCCATTTGGCCCGGGGCTTTTGTCTCCATTAAATCCAAACATAACCTCTTTAACTTCAGCAGCAGTGATAGGAGCACAGACAGAGGAGACTTGCTCAGAATTGAGCTTATGTCTGAGGATACCCTGAAAAAACTCAACTGACTTAATCACTACATGTGGATTTTCTCTTCCCAAATGATTTTTATAGAAATCAATCGCCACATTGCACATGCCCTCAACTGAGTCAACTATGTTACCTTGAGCATCTTTAAGAGAAGTAATGGTGTTTCTCTTTAATCTAGTTCTCATTGACCTATAAAAGTATCCTGAATTTAAGTCTCCAAGCTTTAGCCACAACTCCCTTGACTTCTGCCTCATGAATGTTTCCTCAGCCTTAAGTAACTCAAAGAGTTCTTTAGAAACTCTGACTTCATTCTCAAAATTCCCTTGAGAGGGACAAGTTAG